TTTTTTTTTTTTTTTGTACTTTAGGCGAAGGTTTACAGAGCAAGTAGTTACTTCTCATTAAACAGTCGGTACACATATTGTTTTATGACATTGGTTAACAACCCCAGAACATGTCAACACTCTTCTTTCTCGATTTTTTTTTTTTTTGGTGAAAATATACACAGTTAAAGATACACCATTTCAAAAATTTCTACATGCACAATTCAGTGACATCGATTATGTTCTTCCAGTTGTGCTGCTATTCTCACTTTAGGTGAAGGTTTACAGAACAAAATAGTTTCTCATTAAACAGTACACATGTTGTGCTTTGACAATGGTTAACAACCCCACTACATGTCAACACTGTCCTTACTCAACCTTGGGTTCCCTATCACCAGCTTTCGTGTCCCCTTCTGCCTTCTAGTCCTTGTCCCTGGACTGCTGTGCCTCATTAGTCCCGTTTTGTTTTATGGGGCTGTCCAATCCCCGGCTGAACAGTGAACCTCGGAAGTGACTTCACCACTGAGCTAAAAGGGTGTCTGGGGGTCATACTATCGGGTTTTCTCCAGTCTTTTTCAGACTATAAATCTGTTCTTGTGTGTGTGTGTGTGTTAGAATTTTGTTCTACATCCTTCTCCAGCTCTGTCCAGAACCCTCTGTTGTGACCCCGGTCAGAGTAGTCAGTGCAGGGACTCTTAATTAAATAATCAGTAACTTATATTGAATGTTTAAACTGCTAGACACTGTTCCAAATGTGAGGACCCCCTCCCCGCCCTGCCCCCCAACTTCCATCTGCTTGTTTTTGTCTTTAGAAGCAACAGAGAGAGGATTTAGAATGCTGACACTGGTCTGAGAGCTGGATTCAGGTCCCTCCCCTGCCTCTTGACCTTACTAAGCCTTAACTTCCTCACCTATTAAATGAGAACAACAGTCATCATCATCATTTGATGATGATCGTCATTTACTGAGAACTCATCTGAAATGCTAGGTACTATGCCAAAGGTGTTATATAAATTAGCTCATTTATTTCCCACCATAATGCTCCGACTTAGACATTCAGTGACTATCTGTTTTTCTATAGGTTAGGATAGCACGGGTTAGATGATTGAACCAAGGTCACATGACTAGTACAGCCTGTTGAAAAACCTGTTGCCGTCGAGTCCATTCTGTCTCATAGTGACCACACAGGACAAAGTAGAACTGCCTCATAGGATTTCCAAGGAGCCGCTTGTGGATTCGAGCTGTGGACCTTTTGGTTAGCAGCCGAGCTCTTAACCACTATGCCACCAGCGCTCCGACTAGTACAACAGTAGCTTCTTAACAGGGACATGTGCGGTACTTCAATGAAACGATGCATACCAAGTGCTTCACAAGGTCTCTAACGTCCTTAATGCCGTACCAGTTGTCGTCAAATGCCGGTCAAGTGCCAACTCACGGCAACCCCACGTGTTTCAGAGTAGAACTGTGCTCCATAGGGTTTTCAAGACTGTGGTATTTCAGAAGTAGATTGCCAGGCCTTTCTTTTAAGGCACCTCTGGGTGGACTCAAACCACCAACCTTTTGGTTAGTGGCCAAGTGCTTAACCATTTGTGCCACCCAGGGACTCCTTCCTAGTGCCTACTTAATGTTAAACCCTACCATTGTTTTTATTACTTTGATTAGGATAGCTTGTTAACTTAAATGAGATATTGATTATCAAATTTACAGCTAAGTTAATCTGGCAGAGTCACAGGTTTTTATTAATTTTTCTTTATCTCTGTCATAAGAGTCTTTTTAAGACCTTACTGTTAACAAAGGGGCCCTGGTGGTGTAGTGGTTAAGGCATTTGACTGCTAACCAAAAGGTTGTCAGTTTGAAACTACCAGTGGCTCCATGGGAAAAAGATGTGGCAGTCTGCTTCGTAGAGATTTACAGCCTTGGAAACCCTATAGGGTCGTTACAAGTTGGAATTGACTCAGTGGCAGTAGGTATTTTTTGTTTAACAGAGTTAACAAGGTTTTATATCTTTTAAAAAAAGTCTTCTGTATAATTTTAAATATTACAAAAGCACCAAATTAAGGCTGACAATCCAGAGAGAATGACAGATATTTCAGAGGTTAAAGGTGATTTTCATATGACAGAGCCATACCTACAGAGGCTCCATAGATAGAAAACATTTATGAGGACAAGTTTTATGTTACTGAATATTATCTCCTTTTCTGCAGCTACTAAGAAATAAGGTAGCCTGAAAGTGTTCTTAATGCCCTCTGCCTATTCATTTACAATCCTTACAATAGTCCTATGAGATGCCACTTTGATGACTAAGGTGTGCCTGACCCAAGCCGTGATATTTTCAATCACCTCGTATACATGCAAAAAGCTGCACAATGAATAAGGAAGACCGAAGAAGAATTGATGCATTTGAATTATGGTGTTGGCGAAGGGTATTGAATATACCATGGACTGCCAGAATAATGAAGAAGTCTGTCTTTGAAGAAGTACAGCCAGAATGCTCTTAGAAGTGAGGATGGCAAGACTTCATCTCACGTACTTTGGATGTGTTATCAGGTGGGACCAGTCCCTGGAGAAGGACATCATGCTTGGTAAAGTAGAGGGTCAGTGAAAGAGAAGAAGACCCTCCATGAGATGGACTGATGCAGTGGCTGCAACAATGGGCTCAAACACAGCAATGATTGTGAGGATCACTCAGGACCAGGCAGTGTTTTGTTCTGTGATACGTAGGGTCACTGAGTCAAAACCATCTTGATGATACCTGATGACAACAACAAGATAGGCATTGTTAATTTCCCCATTTTACAGATGAAAGAGTTAAGGCACAGAGATATTAATAATTTGTCCAAGATTTTGCAGCTAATAAATAGCAGTGCCAAGATATGAACTGAGGCATTTTGGCCCCAGAAATTGTGTTCTTTACCTGGGTATTTTACACTATTTCCACCCTCCCAAGAATCAGAATCATACCCTGAGAACTACAGGGAGAATATGTCATAGGGCCACAGCGTGTGGTTGGGCAGGTTGTTCACTGCATAGGGGCTCTCGGCTGGAGAGGGTGAGTGGAATCTGGAATCCAGCCCATGCTCTGCTCATCAAGCCAAGTGCAGGTGCAGCTACACCGAGGAAGGGGCACCTTTGCTGTCTCACGTAGAGCAGCCATATGGGTTAGTGACATCCTCTGCCACACTCTCATGGCTTTTTCTCCTTCCCTAGTCCTGCGTTCCCAAGGCTCTACCCTTCCCCAGAAGGAGGAGGACAAAATGACCAAGTTCAAGGTGAGTTGGGCTTGCCTTTCTAGGTTGTAAGTTCTCACCTCATTTCTCAAAGATTAGGCACGTCTTGTTTCTCTTCCTTGGCCAGGGTTAAGGAGAGCAACAGACATTTGAGGATGTGTTGTGTATCAGATGCTTGCTTGCTGTTTTCTGTTTTAGTGCAGTTTAATTTTTCTTGTCTTATTTTGTCATCTTTTGTAATTTTACAAATAAGAGTAGGAAAGTCAGTATCAGTGAAACAACATCTCCCACTTGACTGCTACTCTACTTACAAATCAACTCCTTTCATCTTTCCACATTCTTTTTTACATATGCAGCCATAACAGTATAGTTGTAATCATCATGTAGATAAAATTCTCAAATATGCTTTTTCACCTTGATATTACTGTATATACTCTGCATTTTTTCCCCCAGTTCTGAGATTTATTAGCTGTATGATCATGGGCAAAGTATTTATTTTTAAATTGTGGTGAACATATACATAGCAAAACAGAACCGCATCTCAGCAGTTTCTACATGTACAATTCTGTGACCTTGATTATGTACTTCAAGTTGTGCAACCATTCTTGCTGTCCTATTTCAAATCATTCTACCACCATTGACATGAACTCAGTGTATACTCTGCTTGTGTAATGGCTACATCATATTCCCTTGAATTGATGTAGTGCATGTGTGTGTGTTTTGTAAATTTTCCCCATTCATGGACATTTAGGTAGTTTAGGATTTCTGTTGTTTTAAGGAGCATTGTAGTAACAGTTTTCCTACATATAACCATTTTCCCCCAAAAGGGATTTGAAGGAGTCTTGCCATCATTCTTAATGTTTAGGAACTCTCAACTGGGAAATTGCATTTGATATGTGGTACTTCAGAAACCCTGGTGGCATCGTGGTTAAGAGCTACAGCTGCTAACCGAAAGGTCGGCAGTTTGAATCTACCAGGCGCTCCTTGGAAACCATATGGGGCAGTTCTACTCTGTCGTATAGGGTTGCTATGAGTCAGAATCGAGTCGATGGCAATGAGGTTTTTTTTTAATGTGGTACTTCAGGTATTTTATAACTAGAATATTCAAATATGGCATGGTGCAACAGGGTCTAACTACTGCTTCACGCAATAAAAATATTAGATATTTTCACACAAAAAGCTGGGTTCATTCTTACCCATACTTGCGTCATACTATGTTCATGTTTTGTTTGCTGAATGAATACTCACATATTAATTTATTAAGGAATCCTGCTGACACAGTGGTTAAGTGCTTGGCTACTAACTGAAAGGTCGACAGTTTGAACCCACCAGCCACTCTGTGGGAGAAAGATGTGGTAGTCTGCTTCCATAAGGATTACAGCCTTGGAAACCCCATGGGGCAGTTCTGGTCTATCACATGGGGTCATTATGAGTCAAAAATCAACTTGATGGCTGGCACACAACAACATATTAATTTATTTTATCAAAGTAATAGTGTACTTAGTTTACAAAAGGACTTGCCAGATACTTTCCTTTTCTTATTGCAGTTAGTCCTCAGACCAACCTTAGGAGGAAGTACTTGGTGTCGTCTGTGTTTTGATTATAAATAAACAGGACTATAAAGTTTCAGAAAATTGCCTAAGTTCACAAAGGAAACAAAAACCAAACCAACTGATTCAAAAAGACTTCTAAAATTTTTACTTGTATGAAAAGAGAAAAAGAATTCTCCAATCAGGGAATTTAGCCCTTTGGGTGCCTGGCATGTCCTGGGGGGTGGTAAACCCAGCTGATGGTTCTGCCCCTCCCTGGTTCCCTCCTCAGTTGTTCCTTCTTCTCTCTGATCACTATTGCTCAGTTAGGGCACGTGAATGGTTAGGGCTCCAGGAATAAACACAGTTTTTATATGAAAATTTAAAACAACACTGTCTACCAATGATTCTCAACTGTAGGTGATCCCCGACCCCCCAAGGAATATTTAGCAATGTCTAGAGACATTTTGGGTTGTCATAACTTGAGAGTGCTATGGGCACTTAGTGGGTAGAAGCCACGGATGCTGCTATACATCCTACGATGCGCAGAACATCTTCCCACAGCAAAGAATTATCTAGCCCAGATTGTCAGTAGTGCTGAGGTGGAGAAACACTGCTGTACAGAAAACTATACAAGAAAATAGAAAACAGCGGGTGAAAGGGAGCCCTGGTGGCACAAGTGGTGAAGAGCTATGGCTGCTAACCAAAAGGTCAGCAGTTGAAATCCACCAGCCACTCCTCAGAAACCCTATGGTGCAGTTTTACTCTGTCCTGTAGGGTCGCTATGAATCAAAATAGACTCAACAGCAATGGGTTTAGTTTTTTCAACAGCAATGGGTTTGGTGTTTTTTTTTTTTTTTTTTTTTTGGTGGGTGAGAATATTTTCTTAAATAGAAATCTTACAGATTCATAAGATAAAATCTCAATTGGAGGAAAGGACATTGAAAGGCAAGGAACCAAAGAAAAAATAAAGAAGGCCAGTAAATATATGAAAGTATGATGATCTTATTAATTATCTAATAAGGACAAGTAAGTAAAACAAGTTTTGTTTTTTTGTTTTTTTTTACTGATCAGATTACCTAGGATTTTAAAATATTAGTTATATTCAATGTTGTCTATGGTGTGGAGAACAGGGATACTTATATTCCTGTGGAGGAAGGATAAAATAGAGAAAATTGAGAAGAAGCTCTGTCCTAATAAATCATGAGTTTAAAGTAGCATATTCTTTGACAGTGCAATTTTCACTTCTTGGAATTTGTCCTAAGAAAATAGTTAGACAAGTGGGCTAATGTCTATCTAAAAACGATGTTCTTTTCAGCATTTATTATGGAAAAAAAAGGTCTAAAACGTAATGTACATTATTTGGAATGTTTATAGTATAATAAAGTTGACTCTGGTCTCTTAGAATCTGGAGCTACTTTATGCACTTCCACTTTTCTCAGTGCTGCCTACCCTTCTTCCAGGGTACATTTGTTATAAGATCTAGGTGTGCTTGATGTTGTAGGAAGCAGTGACATTCAAGGACGTGGCTGTGGTCTTCACCGAGGAGGAGCTGGAGCTGCTGGACTCTGCCCAGAGGAAGCTGTACCAGGATGTGATGCTGGAGAACTTCAGGAACCTAGTCTCTTTGGGTGAGGACGGGTGCCCTCTAACTGAACACCGGCTCCCTGCAGTGTCTGTATGCCCTTGAATGTTCAAGGATTTGGAGCTCTTCAAAGAGTTTCCAGTTTTCTAATCCATGTGAGACACAGAGATGGTGTTTTTCTAGTCCTTTTTCCCTGGCTGTTGTTGTTAGCTGCCAGCGTGTCGGCCCCCAACTCATGGCAACCCTGTGCACAATGGGATGAAATGCTGCACGGTGCTGCGCCATCCCCGTGATCAGTTACAGATCAGACCATTGTGATCCATAGCGTTTTTACTCGCTGCTTTTCAGAAGTACATCACCAGGCTTTTCTTCCTAGTCTGTCTTAGTCTGAAAGCTCCACTGAAACCTGTTCAGCATCATAGCAACATGCAAACCCCCACTGACAGACGGGTGGTGGTGTCTACACATGAGGTGCATTGGCCAGGAATCAAACTGGGATCTCCTGCGTGGTTGGTGAGAATTCTCCTGAACCACCAATGCCTCGTTTCTCCCCCTGCTGAGAGTTATGTTTTATAAGTGAACTGTAAATGGACAGCTTGACTGCTATACATTATTTGTCTTTTCTCAAATTGCAGTTGTCTTCAATTAATGGGTTATAAAACACTTTTTGTGAATTGTCCCAGCATTTTTTAATGAAATAAAATAGGATAAAAAGTATCAGTGCCCTTGGCAACAACTACACAGTACAGCAAAAACTATGACCTATTGTGAAGAATAGCATGAGGGACATTGGAAAGGGTGTAATGAAAATAGATATTTTTTTCAGTCATGTATGCTTTTGTCTGTATATCCTGGGTCTTTGCATAAAATATATTTTGTCCAATGGGTCATGATTAAAAGTTTGGAAAACACTAATTTTGGTGTCCCAAAGGTGATGCAGTGGGAACCATAAGTTTTAGTAATTTTTGCCTCCAGTCTATTAATTTCAGACATTTGCCCTTGCCTTTTCACAGGGCATCAATCCTTCACACCAAATATAATACCTCCATTAGAGAGAGAAGAAAAGCTTTGGATGATGAAGCCAGCAACCCAGAGAGATAGCTCTTTAGGTGAGAGCCATGCACCTGTGAAGCTGTCCTGCTTCTCAGCATCTCCACAGCTGTGGCGCTGGTCTCAGCCAACACGTGGGCTGTGGTTTACTGGAGCCTTCCTACAGCTCTCCTCCTTCTACCTTGCTCTTTTATGATCAGTTCTTCACTCAGGGTGAAGTCTTAGATCATGTCATTCCTCTGCTCAGAACTTCAAATAGTTTCTTATGTGACTCTGAGTAAAATCCACGTTACAGGTAGTCCCCGACTTACAATATGGTTCCATTCCAATGACTCTGTTGTTAGTTATGATGTAAGTCAAATACCTCATTTTTTTTAGTTTTCATTATTGTCACAGCCTGCTGTACAGCAGTGTTTTGAACAATAAGTCATAACATTGAACATCTCTGAGTGAACATCTGAGAATAACATCAGCAAATTACATGCTGCAACATTGTATGTAGTACATATTACTAATGATAAGATGTACCAAAAAAGAAAAACCATATGGTCATAAGTGCAGTTCATCGTTACTCGAATATGTTGTAAGTCGGGGATTACCTGTACTTAGAGTGGTTTGTGTATGTCCCATGTGGTCTGCCCCTCCATCTTCCCCCATCTTCTGTAAATATGGCCTATCACTTTCCCCCTTGTTAGTCTGTTCCAGCCACATTTACCTCTCTTTACTATGCCAAGGATGCTTCCGCCTCATCACTATCTACTTGTTCTCCCTTCTGTCTGGAATGTTCTTTCACTCTACCACCTCTTGGCCCCTCCCTCACTTCATTTAGGTCTCTTCTCAGATGTACCATCAGAAGAAGGACCATGACCACTCTATTTGTATTACCTTCCTTTTCCTTTGGAAATCCTGGTGGCACAGTGGTTAAGAGCTATGGCTGCTAACCAGAAGGTTGGCAGTTCACATCCACCAGGCACTGCTTGGAAACCCTATGGGGCAGTTCTGCTCTGTCCTATAGGGTCGCTATAAGTCGGAATCAACTCAACGGCAATGGGTTACGTTTTTTTCCTTTTCCTTCATTCTCCTTTTTCATATTTTGTCTTACTTTGTGTCTAAGCACTGCTCACCACTTACCATATTAATGTGTATTTTTGTTTACTTGTTTATCTCACTACATTCCCACTGGAATGTAATCTCAAGAGCGGAGAAATTCTGTCTTATCGCTATATCTTCAATGTATAGAACAGACCTGGCAGAGGGTATACAGTAAGTATTTGTTGAATGAACGAATGAATGAGTTAATGATTTTCCATTACCATGGAGATATCTAAAGGGTAGTAAACAAAAATGTGTGATAAAGGTGCAGTCCAGACAGTTTTTTTCATTTTTCCTGATGAATGTCTTCATGGAGGCAGACTGCCATATCTTTCTCCCGTGGAGCAGCTGGTGGGTTCAAACCATCGACCTTGTGGTTAGCAGCTGAGCGCCTAACCACTGCACCACCAGAGTTCCTTCAATTTATTCGGAGGTTTTGGATGTTTGTAGCTATGTGTCCATTAGCCCATATCTCTTGAACGCTTTAGCTTTGCAGTTATAACAGAATCAAATACCATTTTCTCCTTGTGGCCTTCCTGCAGCCTTCAGTAGCAAATCATACTTGCTTGGGGAAGAACTACATTTTAGAATAAAGATTGAATAGCCGCTTTTTAGCCAGGACCCCTGTAAAAGAAAAGATCTACACTTTACATCAGGAAAGAGAAATTCTCAGATAATAACTAGCTTTCAAGTTAGTCTTCCCCGTCAAACATTTTCCTCATGGCAGCCATCTACCCCTTCCAAAGAGTTGTTGTTAGGTACTGTTGAGCTGATTCCGACTAATAGCAACCCTGTGCACAACAGAATGAAACACTGCCCAGCCCTTCACCATCCTCACAGTCATTGTTATGCTTAAGCCCATTGTTGCAGACACTGTGTCAGTCCATCTCCTTGAGGGTCTTTTTTTCGCTGACCTTCTACTTTACCAAGCATGATGTCCTTCTCCAGGGACTGATCCCTCCTGATAACATGTTTAAAGTATGTGAGACGTAGGCTCGCCGTCCTTGCTTCTAAGGAGCATTCTGGTTGTACTTCTTCCAAGACAGATTTATTTGTTCTTTTGGCAGCCCGTGGTATATTCAGTGTTCTTCACCAACACCACAATTCAAAGGCGTCAGTTCTTCTTCGGTCTTATTCATTGTCCAGCTTTTGCATGCATATGAGATGATTGAAAACACAATGGCTTGGGTCAGGCGCACCTTAGTCTTCAAGGTGATATCTTTGCCTTTCAGCACTTTAAAGAGGTCTTTCACAGCAGATTTGCCCAGTGCAATGCATCTTTTGATTTCTTGACTGCTGCTTCCATGGGTGTGGATTGTGGATCCAAGTAAAATGAAATCCTTGATAACTTCAATCTTTTCTCTGTCATGATGTTGTGAGGATTTCTGTTTTCTTTATGTTGAGGTGTGATCCATACTGAAGTCTGTGGTCTTTGGTCTTCATCAGTAAGTGCTTCAAGTCCTGTTCACTTTCAGCAAGTAAGGTAGTGTTACCTGTGTAACACAGGTTGTTAATGAGTCTTCCTCCAATCCTGATGCCTCGTTCTTCTTCACGTAGTCCAGCTTCTCAGATTATTTGCTCAGTATACAGATTAAATAAGCATGGTGAAAGGATACAACCTTGATGCACACCTTTCTTGACTTTAAACCACGTAGTATCACCTTGTTCTGTTCGAATGACTGCCTCTTGATCTACGTACAGGTTCCTCATGAGGACAACTGAGTGTTCTAGAATTCTCATTCTTCGCAGTGTTATCCATAATTTTTTACGATCCACACAGAGTTAGAGAAAAGAATGTTACTTATCTTCTTAGTCATCCCTATTTAAAAATATGATATGTATGGCCATGCCTTTATTTTCTTTCTATAAAATTAGTTATTAAACAAGCAAATGTTAAAGTGATTGATTTTAGACACTCATTCTGGGTAGGATCATGAAATTACCCACCCCAAGTTGGCACATCCTCAGGAAGACGAAAAAAACAAAACACATACACGCACACATTTAAAAGTGATAGCTTTTGAAAATATACGGAAACTGTGAACTATGTAACCAAGAACTTAAGAAGAACACATTTATCTATTATTTTTTCTAAGTTTCCATCATTACAATATAACTTTCCATTTGAACAATTTTAATTTTTTGATTAAGGAATTGATACCTTCCTTAGCTATTTAGGCCATTGGATATGAGTCACAGTAAGAAATACTTTTTATATCATAAACAATACAAACATTCATGTTTTTGTGTGTATTGTATGTGTGTGTATATATAACAAGCATTTTATATAATTTATGTAAAGGTAAGAGATACCTTTACTGTTTATAAAGCAAGTCTAATACTTTTTTCTATTCTGTTAATATTTGTCAAAAGCTAATAGAGTTGTTATAATTTCATTAATAAGTCCCAGCATTCAGTCTGAAAAACAATAGCGTGGTCCTTATAGGACAGTGTATCTAAAAAATAAATCCATTGCCATCAGGTCATTTCCAACTCATAGTGACCCTGCAGGACAGAGTAGAACTGCCCCATGGGGTTTCCAAGGAGCGGCTAGTGGTTTCGAACTGCCGACCTTTTGGTTAGCAGCCGAGCTCTTAACTGCTGCTCTACCAGGGCAGGTTTGAAACAAAAGAAATTTGCTTTCTCACAGCTCTGGAGGCTAGAAATCTGAAATCAAGTGTTTGCAAGGTTGATTCCTTCTGGAGGGCTCAGAAAATCTGTTTCATGCCTCTCTCATAGCTTCTGGTGGTACCTGCAATCCTTGGCATCCTTGGCTTCTAGATGCATCACTCCAGTCTCTGCCTCCACTGTCACTGTGTGTCTCTCTGTGTCTTCTCTTCTCATAAAGACACCAATCATACTGGATTAGGGCCCACCCTACTCCATATGACGGCCTATTAACTGTATCTACAAAGGTGCTATTTCCAAATAAGGTTATATTCACAGATACTGGGGGTTAGGACTTGTGTAGTAGTAGTGCCTGAAGTCCTCTAACTTCAGGATGAGGAAAGAGAATCACCAACAGCCTAAAGCTGATTCCTTTGAGGTGGAGATCAGACTTACCCCCAGTCTCCAACCTTTTACCAATTCTGACACAGCTGCCTGGCCATGGCACTCTCTACTTCTCTGCTGCGTTTGATAACTCGTTGCAGTTGCCACACACAACTTACCATAATTAACGGTTAAGTGGTTTATTAAGGAAGTAAGAGAGCACAACTTGGAATCAGTATCCACAAGCTACAACTCAGAATTAGAATCAGGAAGTATGTAGACAAAGTCTAGAAGGCTCCCCTGAAGTGGAGAGCACATCCCCCCCTTCTTCAGTGCAGGACAGCTCTCTCAGCACCTCTCGGCCGGGCTGGCCGGCCGTGCCGTGCAAGCAAATAGGCCCTTGTGTCTGCCGTGCATGCCCCTCTCAGCTGTGGAGGCCTCCTCTCAGCTGCCTCAGGACAGGCCTCTTGGCCCTGAACACCCCCTCTCAGCCGTGCAGGCCTCCCTGCTGTTGGCCTCTTCCCTGCTAACTGACCTCATAGCCAGTGTAGCCCCTTTGTTCAGCTCTCTTAGCTGCATTCCTAGCAGCAGGTTCCTGCTGTCACCGCTGACTCTGCCTCAGGGCCTCTTCCAGGCCTCTCACTGTCTTCGGTGTTACAACCCTTAACCTGTGTTACATCTCTTTTAGGAGGTTCCTTGCCTCCTCTCTCTCTGCTTCTTCTGTCTTCTTGCCTCTCTTGCCTTTCCTTCTTTCTAATATCTTCTTTCTGAAACTTCTGTGGGGTTGGCTGCATACATAAGCAATCTCCTTGTCAATTTCAAGGCATGGCTCTCCCAGCAGGGCTAAAAACTGACCGGTCTCCTCGGTGGAACATAGTCATTTTATTTGCATAGTTACCGAGATTTCAGTTACCATAGAGCAATGTATGTTATTACTGTAAACCCCTTTCCCCAGTTGTCCTTATGGAGGATATTTCCCAGCAGGAGGTGAAGGACCACTCTCTGCTTATACTTTGAACTTTAGACACTTAGGTAATAAGGTACTTTCTCCCAAACATGCTAGTCATTCCAACCAGTCTAGTGCCCCAAATTTCCTAAACATTGAACTAAATACCCAATAAAATAATCCCGGGCAAAGGTTTTCAACATCGTCTAGGGACATCTTCTGATAATCGATCTCTAAGGGTTTTACTAGACTTTAAGAGCAGGGCCAGTTTGTTCTGATGTGTATGCAATAGGCAGAATTATGTGGAAGCTATTTCTCAGACATCTGCTGCAGCAAAGGAGAACGTGCAGTTTCATCTTTATAAAGATTTCCTAGGAAGTATTTTTCTTGCCCTGCAGCCACCAAATTTCTAACTTGTAGCTCACTTATGCAATTTAGTATGATTCTAAATGGGTCTCATTATTGCTTAGTGAATGGGAGCCTAGTGGACCTCCTCTTGGTTTCTAGAGGCATGTAAATCAGATAACATGATACGTGATAATGAAGAAAAACTGAACCTTCTCCTCGTTCAGTAAAGCCATAGGCTATTTAAAATCTTGAAATCTCTGAACAGAGCATTCACTGGCCACGTTCAAATTCTCTTTATCCTTTCAGGAGGCAAGAATCTAAAAGAGATGGAGACTCTTCAAGAAGTAGGATTAAGGTACCTGTCACATGAAGAGCTTTTCTGCTCGCAAATCTGGCAACAAGTTATAAGGGAGTTAAGCCAGGGTCAAGAGTCCACGATAAATATTGAAGGAACTGTTTCTCAGTTGCAAAAACAAAGTGATGTACCCTATAAAGATGAGGAGTATGGTAAAGGCTTTCATCAGCGTTCACATCTTCAAATTCATCAGAGTGTCCACCTTGGAGAAAAACCCCTGGTAGGGCAGGAATGTGGAAAAGGTTTCATTTGGCACTCTCATCTTCAACGTAACCAGAGGGTCCATGCAGGAGAGAAGCCATATAAATGTGAAAAATGTGATGACACCTTCCGTCGGTTTTCAAGTCTTCAAGCCCATCAGAGACTCCACAGTAGAGAGAAATCATACAAACATGATGTGTTGTGTAAGGGCTTCAATCAGAGGTCATATCTTCACCGTCATCAGAGACTCTTCACTAGGCAGAATCCAGACAAATATGAGGAGTGTGGGAGGAACATTGGGAAAAGCTCACGTTACCAAGCTCATCTGATAGCCCACAGAGGAGAGAAACCCTATAAATGTGAGGAGTGTGGGACAGGCTTCAGTCAGAGTTCATATCTTCAAGTCCATCAGAGAGTCCACACTACAAAGAAACCTTACAAATGTGATGAGTGTGGCAAGGGCTTCAGTTGGCGCTCACGATTACAGGCTCACCAACGAATCCACACTGGAGAAAAACCATACAAATGTGATGCATGTGGTAAGGGCTTTAGTTATAGTTCACACCTTAACATTCATTGTAGAATCCACACAGGAGAGAAACCCTACAAATGTGAGGAATGTGGTAAGGGCTTCAGCGTGGGTTCACACCTTCAAGCCCATCAGATAAGCCACACTGGAGAGAAACCATACAAATGTGAGGAGTGTGGGAAGGGCTTCTGTCGGGCCTCGAATCTTCTGGACCATCAGAGAGGTCATACTGGAGAGAAACCATATCAGTGTGATGCATGTGGTAAGGGCTTCAGTCGTAGCTCAGATTTTAACATTCATTTTCGAGTTCATACAGGAGAAAAACCCTATAAATGTGAGGAATGTGGTAAGGGCTTTAGCCAAGCCTCAAATCTGCTGGCTCATCAAAGAGGCCACACTGGAGAAAAACCGTACAAATGTGCTACGTGCGGCAAAGGCTTCAGTCGTAGTTCAGATCTTAACGTTCATTGTAGAATACACACAGGAGAAAAACCCTATAAATGTGAGAAGTGTGGTAAGGCCTTCAGTCAGTTCTCAAGTCTTCAAGTCCACCAGAGAGTCCACACTGGAGAGAAACCATATCAATGTGCAGAGTGTGGGAAGGGTTTCAGTGTAGGTTCACAGCTTCAAGCCCATCAGAGATGCCACACTGGAGAGAAACCATATCAATGTGAGGAGTGTGGGAAGGGCTTCTGTCGGGCCTCAAATTTTCTGGCTCATCGTGGAGTCCACACTGGAGAGAAGCCATACCGATGTGATGTGTGTGGTAAGCGCTTCAGACAGAGATCATACCTTCAAGCCCATCAGAGGGTCCACACTGGAGAGAAACCATACAAATGTGAGGAGTGTGGGAAAGTCTTCAGTTGGAGTTCATACCTTCAAGCCCATCAGAGAGTCCACACTGGAGAAAAACCGTACAAATGTGAGGAGTGTGGGAAGGGCTTCAGTTGGAGTTCAAGTCTTATAATTCATCAGCGAGTCCATGCTGATGATGAGGGTGATAAGGATTTTTCATCAGAGAATTCATACAGGAAAGGAACTCAATAAAATTATATGTTTTAAGACCTCGAATGTGTGCTGATATATTCCACTTTTCAGAGCTGGCATAGGAGACAAAGTATTTGTTGCATTAAAGGGTCAGTGTTTCAGCCAGAGCTCAACATGTTAAAATGGTCAGGAGACCACACAACAGAGAAGCCTTGTGAGAGTGGAAATATAAAGACTTTGTTCAGACCTTGATATTTAGCAGGTATTACACAGAAGAGAGGTCTTAAATGAATGATGAATCTGATCTGGAGTTAACCAAAAGTACAAAGATGGAAATGCCAAAGTCTATCTCACTGGAATATAAGCTCCAAGAGATAGGAACTTTGTTTAACAGCCAAATCTACTCTGCCTTTTCAGTGCCTAACACATTCATTGTAGGTTTTCAGTAATTGTTAAATGAGTAAAAAGGAGAACAATTATATTTGAAGTTTTTATTCATTTCTTCTCTGAAAATTTCTGTAAAATTGTACTCAAGAGGATTTTTGCAAGGCTTGGAGAATATTTAAGTTAGACACATGAACTTGTTTTTCCAAACCTACAGGTCCTGTGAACTAGTGTGTATCAAACTGAAGATTGCAACACATTAGTGGGTCCAGAAATCAATTAGGTTGTGGCCAGCATTTTTGTATACTAGTGGTACTTTAATGAGGTATAATTTGCATGCAGTAGCATGCAGAAGTCTCAAGTTTACACGTTCATGAATTTTGACAAATATATACAATTGTGTAATCATCACCAAGCTCAATATATAGAATATTTTTATTTTACCAGAAAGTTTCCTTGTGTCCATTTCTAGTTAATCCTAATGCCAGTGGCAACAAGTATTATGATTTCTATAGCCATAGATTAGTTAGGCCTGTTTATGGGTTCAATGTGCTTTTGTGTCTGGATTCTTTTGATAAAATATATATGATCATCTCAATACATACAGAGAATACATTTGACAAAATTAAACATCCATTCTTGATAAAAATTTCTCAAATGAGATAAAAGGCATTTATGAAAACCCTATAAGCTAACATTCTTTTTTTATTATTATTAGGGAATAATTTATATACAGTGAAATGGACTCTTTTTTGATGTATCATTCTGAGTTTTGGCAGATGCTTACTGTCACATAATGAATACCACATCAAGCATTTAACAGTTACAGCATTCTCCCTCAACCCCATAAATTCCCTTGTATTAACAACACATCTTCCCATCACCAGTCGTTGGCAACCAATGACCTGTTTTCTGTCTGTATTGTTTGCCTTTTCCAGAATGCTATATAAATGGAAACATACAGTATGTAGTCTTTTGAATGTGGCTTCTTTCAGTTGTTCTAATGCTTCTGAGAATCATCTATCTTGTATGTAGTAGTTGCTGTTCTTTTTATTACTGAGTATTATTCTATTACATGGATTAGCATGGTTTGTATATTCATTTACCACTTTAAGGACATTTGGGTTGTTTCTAGTTTTTGGTGATTGTGAGGAAATCAGCTACAAATAATTCACTTACAGGTTTGTGTCTGAACATAAGTTGTGAGTAAATACTTAGGAATGGGATTGCTGGGTTGTATGGTAAGAGTATTTTAACTTTATGAAAAACTGACAAATTTTTCTAAAGTGACTGCAGTACCGTTTTGCATTCCCCCTGTTAATAGATGAGCGTTCCAGTTGTTCCTTATCATCATGAGCAACTTGATATGTCAGGGTTTTGTTTTGTTTTGCTTTTAGCATTTCTAATAGGTTTATAGTGGTATTTCAATTTGGTTTTATTTGACACTTCCCCAATGACTATGTTGAGAAATAATAATTGCAAGAAGACCAAGGGATTCCCTGGAACAGAGTTGGCTATATGTTGGGTGGCCACCTATGCATCATATGTAGGATATACGTAGCACATGCAGGTCCACATTTTGTCTTGTATCCTTTTGCCTCCAGGAGTTATCAAGTAATTTCTTAAGGGGAAGCTGTGAACTGATTGAATGCCCCAAACAAATGTAGAGGACAATATGGATAAAAGGAAGCCCAAGGAGTTTGGCACTGAGAACTGGAGTGGTAGAATCTCAGACCCAGGCAGTGAGCTAAATAAGGCATGCACCAAGTAAAGCCTGAAGACTCCACAGTGACATGTTTGGGCCCCTGGTGTGTAGGCCTTGGCATGCTGGGGGTGCCTGTATATTATGATGGGAATCATGGGCATTTTCTTTCTAGATCTCGTAGTGGTTCACATTCAGTATTGCCGTTATGGGATGAAGCCAAAGCTGGCATCCTATTTAAGAAAGTTAGTGCTGAGAACTTATTTAAGATCTTTTCCTTGTTGGAAGATCCATACATTTGTAGGTATGGGGCCAGGTGCTAAGACTTCTCTTACCTCCAAAGAGGGACCTGAAGTTAGCCAACACTTAAAACCATTATACTGGGGAGAAACAGCAGGCTTTGGCAGAGAGCTTTCTTATATAGAATAGACTGGGGGTCAAGGATGCTCACTTTTCAGCGGTCCAGTTTCATTATCTGCCCTAGATCTGGATGCCCGTCTAACACAGATTGTGCCAGGACTGAAAAGGGATGCTGAATTGGGGAGGTGTCATTAAATGTGAAAGGGAGTTCTGGGTATTGTAGAAAGACTAGAAAGGGAAAGACAGAACCCTGTTTACATTTTAGCAGGGTGTCTTAGGTCATAAAAGTTGAGAGTTCAGTGTAACTAAGGCAGTGAGCAAAAGAGCCATTTGTGAAACTATTGTCCTTTTTGTAATTTTAAGAGGGCTTCCTTCAGTAGACCATTATTTCTATTAGGCTTGCTATCTCTGGATGCTAGGACAAATGGAGATTCCAGAGTTTAGGTACAACAGGGCCTGTGCCTAAACTGAATGAGCAGTAATGTGTGGACACAAAGTCAATGATACCTGGGGGCCAAAAGGAACTAACCAAATTTTGGGGAGTCCAGTAATGGTGATATCAGCAGTAGCATGCTGGGAATGGTAAGCCAAGGGTAGACCCTCAATCATTGTGAGGGCAAAGCCATTTGTGCCAGCAGATTGGGACAGTGGCCCAACAAAATCAGTTTGACAGAGAAGTTTTTACCCTTTGTAATAGATGTTCATTGGCCATGATGCCTATGGTGGGACAGGACACAAAGGTCACAGTGGGAGAGTAGGGCTTGAATTAGATCCAGTGGCTTGGAGATGCCATGGATTTTAGCCCTGAGTCCATGATGTGGGTAATACTTAAGTTTATTTGAGAAATGTGAGCAAGTTGGCAGCTATAGCATTAAAATGAGCCTCCCCTATGGGGGCCTTTGTATGAGTTGAAATATGGGTGAGTTTAATTGTCATATGTGAAGTCTGAGAGGCAATATATTCATCTATATGGTAGACCCCACAGGAATGATCCTGATTGGGAAATCTATTTTGAGCTCATTGACAGAAGCAAACAGTCCAGGAATCTGTAAAAATATGACAAATGGGACATGCCTTTGTTGAAGATGTCCTCTCTAGTGCCAAAGTGATGGTCATCAGATCTGTGAGTTGGGCCCACCCTTGTGTCCCTCCTTTATCAGGGATGTCCTGGCCATGGAACGGAAAGTGGCAGTGTTCTAGCAGGCTCCATTATCTGTGTTGATGGTGCTGTTGTCTGTGAAATAAATGGAATCCCTTTCCACTGGACTCAGTTTATCCCAAATGGCCAGTGGGACTGGGAGAATGGTGATCTTGCATAGATCCAAGAACTTGGGAAAAAGAGGGCTGAGTAAGCCACATTCTCCTGTAGTGTTGGTATATCTGAGGGCCAAAGTTGAGCTGTATTCTGAAGGTACCATTTCCATTTAGTAAAGAGAGTTCTATGTGCCAAATCTATGGGATGTCGCCTCCATGACCTAAGGTATAATGGGCAAGTCCAAAGGGTCACAGGCTCAGGGCCTTTGATAGCATCTTTCTCAAGTAGGGCCTAATGGACCACTGAGAGTTGTCTTTTAAGAGGAACATACCTCTCAGCTTCTGAAAGTAGTCATTTGCACCAGAAATCTGTAGGAAATTGTCAGCTATTGTTTATGATCCAGATACTCTAAGAGGCATTAAGAATTAGTGGCTAGGTCTTCCACAGTAAAGGAATCACTGGGTGGGACAAATGACATTGTTTTTCAGATAGCTTTTTGGGTGGCCTCAAAGGCCTGTTGTTGGGTATTCTTTATTCAAATTGAAATGATTTTTTAGTGACTGCATAAGTAGGTTGAAAAAATTTTAGGTGGGGAATTGTTACCACCAGCAGCCAAACTGATCAAGTAGGTGTTGTCTTACTTGAAAGAGGTGAGAATGAAGAGAATCAACACTTATTACTTGACTGGATCTGGTATAGAGTGGCTTTCTGTGGACAAAATTATGCCTCAAAATTTGACAGAGGGCCCTGGACCTTTTTAGGCATAATGGCTCAGCCATGGTCAGTCAAAGTCTGGAATACATTTTAAATGCCTTGTACAATGGCTTCATGCATTTATCCCCTTAGAAAACATTATCAGTATAATATCATCAGTGAGTGCCCAGGGATATCAAACCATTGAAAGTCCTGCCTGCATGAATTTTGAGCAATGATGAACTATTGAGATACCCCATAGGTGATCTAGTGAATGTGTATGGGGATACCTCAAAGGTAAGTGCAAATCGTATCTGTAATGCTGGAGAAATGGGGACAGAATAAAACATATCAGCTAGATTAATAATTGTGAAGACCTTTCCTGTGGCCAATTGGATGGAATCAGTAAATGACATTTTGTATAGAGGCCTTAATTAGGGGTACCACACATTGAGATTGTGGTAGTCAGCCATAAGGGGCCGTTCATTTTTATTATGCTTAAAGATGGGCCAAATAGGGCTATTGAAGGGGCAGATGGTGGGAATGAGGACTCCTTCTGCAACCAAATCTTGAATATAAAAACCAAAACCAGACCAGTTGCCACTGAGTCATCTCT